TGATGATGGTGATGATGCTGATGATGCTGATGCTGATGCTGCTGATGCTGCTGATGCTGATGCTGCTGATGATGATGATGATGATGCTGATGATGATGATGCTGACGATGCTGACGATGCTGATGATGATGCTGCTGGTGTTGATGCTGCTGACGATGATGATGCTGATGATGCTGCTGCTGCTGCTGATGATGATGATGATGATGATGACGACGACTGACGATGATGATGCTGATGACTATGAGGATGCTGATGATGCTGATGACGCTGATGATGCTGAGGATGCTGATGATGGTGATGATGGTGATGCTGGTGATGCTGATGATGCTGATGATGCGGATGCTAATGATGATGCTGATGATGCTGCTGATGATGGTGATGATGCTGATGATGATGCTGATGCTGATGCTGATGCTGATGATGATGATGATGCTGCTGCTGCTGATGATGATGATGCTGATGCTGCTGATGATGATTGATGATGATGATGATGATGAGATGATGCATGATGATGATGATGATGATGATGATGATGATGATGATGATGATGATGATGATGATGATGATGATGATGATGATGATGATGATGATGATGATGATGATGATGATGATGATGATGATGATGATGATGATGATGATGATGATGATGATGATGATGATGATGATGATGATGATGATGATGATGATGATGATGATGATGATGATGATGATGATGATGATGATGATGATGATGATGATGATGATGATGATGATGATGATGATGATGATGATGATGATGATGATGATGATGATGATGATGATGATGATGATGATGATGATGATGATGATGATGATGATGATGATGATGATGCTGATGCTGATGCTGATGCTGATGCTGATGATTATGATGATGCTGATGATGCTGCTGCTGCTGGTGACGAGGATGATGCTGACGAGGAGGATGATGAGGAGGAGGATACTGAGGTGGAGGATGAGGATGAGGAGGATGAGGACCAGGATCAGGATCAGGAGCAGGAGCAGGAGCAGGAGGAGGAGGAGGAGGAGGAGGAGGAGGAGGATGAGGAGGAGGAGGAAGAGGGGGACGACGAGGAGGACGAGGAGTACAAGGAGGACGAGGAGGACGAGGAGGACGACGAAAACGCAGAGGACATTGAGGAGGAGGAGGAGGAGGAGCAGGAGGAGGAGGAGGAGGAGGAGGAGGAGGAGGAGGAGGAGGAGGAGGAGGAGGAGGAGGAGTTGGCCGTCGGTATCCTAGTTGCTGAAGATGCTGCCGATCCAGGCGCCCACGGAAGTATAGTACACGTGCTGGAAGCTTTCCCGCTCTTCCTCGGCACCGCCGTCCTCATCGTCGGGTCGAGGTGGTGGGGTAGCGGAGGATGGCGAGGGTCTGCGCCTCTGGCCCCCTCGCGGCGCCGGGTGAACCAAGGCTTCAGCGTCTCCCCCTCGGGCGTGATGACCTCACGCGGCAGCACGTGGAACGCGATCGAGGGTTCGACTCCCCTGCGCGACGGCAGCGGGCTTCCTTGCCCTTGGTCGCCCACTGGGGCTGGGGCCTGTGGCGTGGGGGCCGCGCGCCCTGTGCCGCCCCCCCGTGTCGCCCTCGACCTCCCAGCCCCTCCTCGGACACCGGGTGTTTCGCATTCAGTGTAGCTGCCGCTTCCCCTCGAAGAGCTCCTTGATCCTGGATTCTCCCCCCCCTCCTCGAACTTCGATCCTCGATCCTCCTCCATGCGCGTTGCGAACCCTCGCGGCGCTGTTTCTGACCTAACCTCTCTGCCCGTGGGCGAGGGCGATCAGCTGCTCGGTATCCTTCTCTGACTACTCCTCGGCCCCTCCAGCCAATCCCGTGTGCGCCAGCTCGCGCAGAGGCTGAAGAGCTCATCCTCGTCCCACGCCCGAGGGACCGCTGGCGTTGCTGCTGGGGGCCAACAGGTGCGGGCACCCCCCAGCCCGTCCTGGCTATTTGAAAAAGCCTCACGAGCGGACAGCTCGCACTCATGCCTGTGCGGCCCTCCGCAGACTTTTCTCGGGGTGGGAAATCCCGCGGGGGCTGTGGGTGTGTGTTGTCGGATGGGGCTCCGCCTGGCTCCCCGCTCGGACGGAGGAGGAGGGGAGGAGGAGGAGGAGGAGGAGGAGGAGGAGGAGGAGGAGGAGGAGGAGGAGGAGGAGGAGGAGCGCCTTTATCGCCCTGCCCCTCCGCATTCCTCCTCCCTACAGGTACGAGCGTGTCTTGTTAAAGCAACATGTGGGTATGAACCTTGCCCCCAGCACCAATCCTCGAGCCCGCCCGCCATCCTCGGCACCTACCATCGACCCCTATCCTCGATCCTCGATCCTTCTCCTCCTCTTCGTCCTTGATCGTCCTCCTCTGCCATCATCCATCCGCGATCCTCCTTGATTCTCCTCATCCTTGATCCTCCTCCTCCTCCTTGATCCTCCTCTTCCTTGATCCTCCTCCTCCTCCTTGATCCTCCTCCTCTCCTCCTTGATCCTCCTCCTCCTCCTCCTTGATCCTCCTCGTCCTCCTTGATCCTCCTCCTCCTCCTCCTCCTCCTCCTCCTCCTCCTCCTCCTCCTCCTCCTCCTCCCCCGCCCGAGCAGCGAGGGCCTACACGCCCGCGGAGATCGCGGTGCTCGAGCAGACCGACTCCCTCACGGACGTCACGGAGGAGGCGCGCGGTGCCTTTTGGCGCACCCCTTGGGCGGCCGCGGCGCTCGTCGTCGTCGTCGTCGTCGTCGTCGTCGTCGTCGTCGTCGTCGTCGTCGACGCCGCTGCCCGGGGGCGGCCAAGCGTCGGTGGCTGCAACGGCTACCAACCTGGAACATATCCCTTGGAGAGCAACATCGGCTTCTTCTAGATGACCAATGCCTGGGGCCGATGCCAGATACCGTCCTCACGTTCTAGCCATAAATGTCTATGGACACAGTGGGTGCCGTGACGTCCAGAGACACTTTCGGGGTGGATACGTCTATGGGCAACGTGGCCGTTGCGTTCGGCGCGGTGCAAGGTCGGAGAAAGGGTATATCCGTCTATGGTATGTTCTTGCTCTAGAGCAGGTCCCACATGGTATTCCAAGGTATCCGTATTCGCACGATTGGCATCGCCTTATCTCGATTCAATCTCAGGGCGAAGGCCTGCGATTGTCGTCGCCCTTGGGCCCTTGCCAATCGCAGGGACGGGGATGGAGCCCGAGGCTGGAAGGGTGTGGTTGCGCTGGGGTGTGGCTTGCGATCTGCGTCGCTGGGGGGGGGGGGGCACCACCCCGCACGCGACGAAGAGGGGAGGAGGAGGAGGAGGAGGAGGAGGAGGAGGAGGAGGAGGAGGAGGAGGAGGAGGGAGGAGGAGGAGGAGGAGGAGGAGGAGGAGGAGGAGGAGGCGGAGGAGGAGGAGGAGGCGGAGGCGGAGGCGGAGGCGGAGGCGGGCGGAGGAAGAGAGGAGGAGGAGGAGGATGATGAGTAGGAGGAGGAGGAGATGGAGGAGGAGGAGCAGGAGGAGGAGGAGGAGGAGGAGGAGGAGGAGGAGGAGGAGGAGGAGGCGGAGGAGGAGGAGGCGGAGGAAGCGGAGGCGGAGGAGGAGGAGGAGGGGAGGCGGAGGCGAGGAGAGGAGGAGGAGGAGGAGGAGGAGGAGTAGAGGGGAGGAGAGGCGGAGGAGGAGGAGGCGAGGAAGCGGAGGCGGAGGAAGCGGAGGAGGAGGCGGAGGCGGAGGCGGAGGCGGAGGAGGAGGAGAAGAGGAGGAGGAGGAGGAGCAGGAGAGGAGGAGGAGGAGGAGGAGGAGGAGGAGGCGGAGGCGGAGGCGGAGGCGGAGGAGGAGGCGGAGGCGGAGGCGGAGGAAGAGGAGGAGGAGGAGGTCTCCCCTGATCTCATGGCACCTTCTCCTTCACTCAACACGTTCCCCTGGTCCTTCCCCGGGCCGCCCACGTGCCCCGCGCCATGATCTGCGAGCCGTCCTCTTGTGGACGCTCTCCTCCGAGACGCCCCCGACCGTCGCCGCCGCCAGCGCGGCCGCTGCCGACGCCGAATTCGATCCTCGATCCTCGATCTTCCTACTTCTCCTCCTCGTGCTCTCCTCCTCTTCCTCCTTCTCCTCCGCCTCCTCCTCCTCCGCCTCCTCCTCCTCCGCCTCGTTGCGCCAGTGAAACCACCTACGCGAGCTGATTCCTTATCCCCCCGATTCGCCGACAGGGGGCCTTGCGCCGATCCTATAAATCCGTGCGGACCTCCACAAGTCTATGCTCATGCCGTTTTTCTCTTCTTATTCCCCCTGTTCTTCCTCTTCCCCTTCTTCTTCTCAGCACTATTCGTCTTCTCCGTAGATCCCCCCGAAACTATTGCCTGCCCAGGAGGAGAAGCCCTGGACCTCTCGGACCCTTCTTCTGTCCCCCCGGGCCTTTCGTCCCCTGTCCCCCCGGAACCGCTCACCTGGTCGTACACCCGTTTCTGGCAGCCCGAGGCTGCCCGCGCGCTCCCACCCGGCCAACTCGGCGGCGCGGGCCCCTGCCCCTCCTCCTCCTCCTCCGCAGCCGCCTCCTCTTGCCATCTCGCCGAGGGACGGCCCAGGCCGATCTGCCGAAGGCATGCCAGGGCAAGGACCCTGGCGCGGTAGCAGCCAGGCGGGCAAGGAGGGCTTGACCTTCCAGGTGGGCGGCCCGACTCTGCCGCGCCGCCTCCTCTCTCCGCCCGCCCTCGTGCGCCCATCGCCGCGCCCTCCGCGGCCCGCCGGCTCTGCAGACGCGCCTGCGACCGCCAGCGCTGCCGACACGTCCTCTACAAAAGAGGAAAATCTAATACTATTCGAAAATTCGTTTTGGGGCGATTTTTCTTTTCATTTTCATTATGTTTTTTTTTCGTTTGTCCTTCCAGATTTGCCTATGGGGGGACGTGCCTGACCTAACGCAAGACATGTCCCCCCCCGAACCTCCCCGGGCCTCGAGGGCCAAAAGCATGCCCGTATCCGCGGCCCTGCGGCCCGGGCACCTGGGCCGCGACCCCGCGGACACGGGG